CTGTCCATTCCCATCATAAAACTTCCAAATAATGAAATTTTTTGTTCCATTCCATTCTGTTTCACTCCATTCTGTTTCATTTTATTAATGATCATTTCTTTCCATTCAATCTTAAACTCCCAAACACACTCTTAAAGCATCCCCTACATTCTTTTTTTTTTTTTTGGTGATTTCTCCTGTCAAGAGTTGGCCTAAAGAATGCTAGTCAATAATACAATTTTATTTCCATCTTTACTCTTTTTAGAACCATAAACCTATTTGGCTATACTCATCATTTTAGTCTAATGATTGATGCTTTACATTTGGTTTCATGATCACAAACGGTGTCCCGTGAGCAACAGCGGATGGGAAATCACATTTTGCTTTCTCATTTTAGAGGAGAAATCAACACTAGGCTTTTCTGTTCTTATTCTAGAAGTGTGAGGGTGGTGGGTAGATCTAATGAGCCTAGCAATGACGGAGAAGTAACAGTAATGGCAACGAGATGACAATGGAGAAAAAGGGCAATAGTGGTGGGGGAGGCAGTAGCAAGGAGGTGAAGGTGACGCTGATATCATTGTTATTGGTCTCCCATGCCTTCATTTATGAGCTTCATGCATGGATATCAAGCATTGAGGCTATGAGAAACAGGCCCTTTCGGCATGGCCAAGCTTTATATGAAAAAAAAAACATAGTTTTGACTTTCCGAGCTCTTCCCTAGGTTAGGGTTCTTTTCTATTTATTTTCCTGTCTATTCGGAATTAAGAAATTCCTTTGTTGTACACTTGCGAGCAAACCTAATTTTTTGTACTACTTTAGCGTGCACAAAGTTTTGGTTTGTTTTGTGATTTTACTCATTTATGACAACAATGTTGGCTTTAAGCCAAGTGAGACACATGGATTGTTTCATTATGATTGATCCTTATACATTGTTTTCATTATCTACTCTAACATTACGTTTGGGAGTTTAAGATTGAATGGAATGGAATGGAGTAGAGCATAGCGGAGTGGAATGGAATGAAATTTTTTTATTGTTTGGGAGTTTTATAATAGGAAGGAATGGTCTTACATGACCATTGTTTGGGAGTTATTATAAAATGGATGGAATAGAATGGATTAAAACTTATTTCTTCCCATATTACCCATATGACTAAATTTAAAAAAAAAATAATAATGCCCATTAAATAATTATAAAATTATAATATTTTTCCAACAAAAAATAATAAAAATTAACATTAATGGTCAAAAAAAGGTATCTAAGAATTAAGAAGAAAAATAACTTGGTTTTAAACATAAATATATAAATTAGGATGTACTATCATTATTCTTAGAAGACATCAAAACCATTGCAATCTCTTTTTGTATCTCCTGGGGGCATCCAATTAGTATTCTTTGAGCATCAATATTTTGTACTATATGCACATGAGCTTTTGGTTAACATGCCTCTTTCTAGCTGCAATCCTTCAAAAAGAGCCCAAACTTCACTTTCTAACATAGGACTTGCCTGTTGACTCTTAACCATTTCCATGCCATATTTTGAAAAATCTTTAGAGTATTTCACGAAAACTTCAACCATGTTGTTTAATGACTTGGCAAAACATCTCCATGCCCAAGTCTTCATTCATCATTTTACTTTTTTTCTTCTTATCTTTGATGTAGTTGTAGCTTGAGATCCTGTTTCTAAATAAATTTCAACCTCTTCATTGTTGTTCACATCAAAGTCATGCAAGTTTGTTTCATTGTTAGAAATCAACATGTCAATTTCTTCTAGTGAATCAAATTCAGTTCCAATTGGTGTAGAGTTTTTCTGTTTGACCTCTGATATATTTCTTGCATACTCACCACTCGCCCTATCTTGTCCATACAATATAATAAAAGGACAATTAATAATTATATTTTACTTTCCATACTATAAAGGACTATATAAGTATACTAGTTTGGATATTTTCTAAATTGAAATTATGTTTTTAATGCTTTTTATATTTTTTATACATATATATGTACTTATCAAATACATATTGAAATCCTATATTTTTTTAAAAAATAAAAGTACAAGCATATCATATGCATATCGTATCTTATTCACGTACTTTATCTGTGCAGCATAGTGTGTTGCTAACATTTAAACAAGCAATTAGGGCCCATTTGTTTAAGATTAAAAAATAATTTATTTTTATATAATTTAGAGATTTTATAAAAAAGAAGATATGGGACCCATTTGTTTAATATTATAAAATAAGTGATTTTTAGATTAGTTTAGATGTCTTATAAAAAGAAATTTATCTTGTAGAGATTTTATAAAAAGCAGATATTATTTTATGTTTGGTTATAATAATAAAAAGTGATTAATAGTTAGTTATTTTAAAATTTTATGATATATTCCTCGATTTTTGTTTCATAAAAATAATTTATTATCATATCATTTTAAAATTTTATGATGTCTTCGTATATCCTACCACTTTAAAATACTCTCTCTGATCTACAATATTATGTTATTTTTAGAAGCTACTCAATGTAGCTTTTAACAATAATCAGAAATAAAGTATACTTTTTTTTTTAGATTCTGATTATTTTCAAAAGTTGAAACAATCATTATAAAAATTCACAAAATAGATTTTTTTTTCAAAAAATAAGTTATTTTCATATAAGCTAAAGCAAATGGGCCTTTATTTTGTAGACATTTTACAAAAAAAAAATTATTTTATGTTTAGTTACAGTAATAAAAAATTATTATTAGTTAGTTATTTTCAGATTTTATGATATCTTTATGGATTTATGTTTTATAAAAATAATTTATTATTTAATTATTTTAAAATTTTATGACATTTTTGTGTATCTCTACATTTTTATGGCATTTTCTCTCATCTAGCCATCAAATGATGTTCAAAAGCTGTTCAGTGTAGTTCCTAAAAAATAATTAGAAATATATTTTTTTATATTATGATTGTTTTTAAAAGCTTAAACGATATCACAAAATAAAAAATGATTTTTTTCTAAAAGATTAATTATGTTTTTTTTTATGAAAAAACAGCTGAACCAAACTAGCCCTTGATTGATTTGCCTTATTAAAAAAAAAAAAGAAAAAGAAGGAACTAGCTTGCTACTTGACGCTTCATTACCAAACAATAATTCACTCCATTTTTCTCTGACTTCAGTAACTACGCGTCATTTTCTTTTATAATCAACTTCATTTTTTTCACGAATGTCCATATATATATATATTGCTAATTGAATTTTGATTTTTTGTGCTGTTCAAAAATGGGTGCTTGAGAGATACGGAGGGATTTTTTCATGTATTCCTTTTATATCACCTCACAAGAGCTTCCCCAAAAAATCTCCCAAACACTATCTCAATCTCAAGAATTGATCTTGCTGTACTCAAGGACGGATGATAATGGTGCTCTAGCCACTATTATGAGTTTCTACTTCACATGACAATATTATAACTTTTATTTGTTTTTATTTATCTCGCTCTGTATGACCCTTGTTTGCTTTTGTTGTGAAAAATGGAGTGAAACAACTTCACATGTATGAAACTTTGTTTTTTTTTTAAATAAACAAGGATATAACTATATATAATTAAACTGCATGAATGATGCAATCAAGTGTAAACACAAGAGAATAGAGCCACATGCCAAACAAATCAATTCACCCTTTCATCATTCACCACCTTACAACAAGAAGGTGGAGGATGGTCAAAAACACTGTATGAAACTTCTATTTCATGTTTCTTCATGATGTTGTGTCTTCACAAATTATGTTTACTTTTCTTGGCAGGAAAAATAGACGATTATATATTGTAAACAAAAAAAAAAAGCCAGCTCGGCATCAAGCACAACCTACACTAGTGCTCTTTCGCTTAAACAATGATTGATAATTATTGACATTTTTCACTGTTCCCTTTTTATTTTATTCATATTTTTTAACTTAGCATGAATCCACCTATATACTCAAAAATATGTCATGAATGGGGCTAATGGATATCATGGGCTCAAAGCTCTACCAAATGGCCTTGAACCGATGGAAATCACTTAGGGCATGGAAATGAAAATATAAGGCAAAAAAAAAAAAAAGGGGGTAGTGAGAAAGGGAATGAAGAATTTTGTGAAATTTACTAGTATGGTTGTTGATTTATTTGTAGTTGTAATCTGCTATGAGACTGAATAATTGTGGCTGTTAATTTCATTATCTTTGAAGAGGCCAATACAATGATATTTTCCCTGTTCTTCCCCTGTGTTCTATGTTAATTTTATTGATTGAGAAGGGTGATCATGACAAAGTACATATTTTATGATTGGGTGAAAATAAATGCACATATTTTTGTGATTGGGCACTATGTAATGTGATAAACGAAAGATTATGGCAAATTAAAGTTTTTGGTTTAATAACTAAGAATATATAGTATAGTACAGATGGTTTTGGATCCAAGCTTCTTACAACATACTATTGCAAAAGTGTACAAGGAAATAGAGTTTCATTGGCATTATATAATGTTTAAATGATCACTCTCCAACTCGTGATAAAAGTTGTATGCTATTATATACCCTGTACTTTTTTTATTATTTTAAGGGAGAAAATAGTTGAGGGAAGAAGAAATTTGAGAGACTCTATAGAATGTTTATGGTAAGAGGAAAGGAGAGAAGTAAAGCAACTGAGTGCTTTATACTTTTATATTTAGGTAAAAATAAGAAGGCATATATATAACAAATAATGGGTCCAACATATTCTAAAAGTAGATAATAAAAAAAGTGGAACAATTAACCACACAAATTGTAAGAAACTTAATGTTAACTTAGACATGATGCTACTTGCCTATGCATAAACATGCCCTTGATCTTGTTCAATGATACAACAACATCAATCATATTGCCATGTGCTTCTAGAAGATCAGTGCAACAATTCAACGCCAATTCAAGAACAGAGGGTGTAGATGCCAATATATTTTTTATATGATGTTCATCTCCTCCTAATAAATTGGAATCCATAACTTGAATTATTGCATGTGGTATTGACTCACTTACCCAGCTCTTCAAGTTCAATCCTTCGACAAACATATCTTCTGTGGGACAAACATATCTTCTGTGGGCCTTTTTCTTGTAAACACCTCTAATAGCATAATTCCATAGCTATACACATTTACTTTTGTTGAAACAATTCCAGAAGATCCCTACTCTACATATAATTGATTTCAAGTAATAAAATAAAAATAATATGTGAATAAGACTATTCATTTAGTCATTTAGAGTAGATACGATAACAAAGAATTGAGAAATAAGTTATGTTGTGCTGCCTAGTGGTAGTCTTTGAATTTTTTAAATGTATACTCTTATTAACCCTCAAGATTGATAGGAAAATTTTATGATCATAAGCAAAAGAATTTTTATGTGGAAAAAACAAAGACACACCCACCCTAGCCCCCATATCCAAGAATACATGCATGCACACCCCATGCATACACATTTCAAAATACACATTCATCTTAAGGTTCTAATGTTAATTAGTTTAATAATTTTATATGCATGTAAAATGACCAAATGAAACTACGTTCAATGATTGCTAAATTCATAAAATAGCTCTTTCATTTTCTATTTGAATAGAAGAGCCTATCTCACGGACAAATTAGAAGGAAATATCCAAGAACATTTCTCTCCATAGAAGAATTAGTAACAATATATGTAATAAGTCATAGATAACTTTGATAAATTGTCGTTTATCAATTAAACTACATATTTAATAATCGAATCAAATCAATAACATTAATATGTTTATTAAGAAGTCATGTAGTATTTATCATAAATATTAATTAATTTTCCATTCACTAATTTTATATAATATTGCTAATTTGAATAATTAGTAACAATATATGTAATAAGCTTTTCTAAATATAATATGTTAAAGATATATGTTGTTAGAATGCAAAAGAAGAAGAAAAACTTGAGACACTGTGTTTAGAATAATTACTAGGTGCCACATAGCCAATAGTAGGTATTGTCTCTGTGTTGGTCTTAGATTCCTCTTTATTTAAATGTTTGGAAATCCCAAAGTCACTAACATGCATTTCATCATCCATTAAAATGTTGCTCGGCTTCAAATCACAATGAACAATTGGTGTTAACAAGCCATGATGAAGATATTCCAAAGCAGTTGCTACATTTATCATTATATTCAACCTTTGAAAATAACCTAAAAAATAGTTGTGAGAATATAACCATTTTTCAAGGCTCCCATTGGCCATGAATTCCATCACCAGAGATTTGAAATCAACATTGGAACAACAGCTTATAACCTTCACCAAATTGCGATGGCGTGCATTACGCAATATGTCACATTCTTTTTCAAAGCTCCTTAATGTTACTTGTGAATCAAATTTGAAGATCTTAACTACAATGATTATTCCATTGGAAAGTTTTCCTTTGAACACAGAACCATAACTACCCCTTCCAAGTATGTTACTCTCATCAAATCCATTGGTTGCTTCTTGGATTTCAAAATAAGAAATCCTTATGGGCACTCCTAAAATTGATAAATCCCTTCTAACTAGACTTGTTGAATTTTGTTGTCGTTTATGCCTTAAAAGGATAACACCTGTGACAATCAAAATTATTGACACAACTATGGGTAGTATGCATTTCAATAAAGGCAATATTGTCATTGATCTTGTTCTTGTTTCTTTTTTGCAGGGAGGCACTTTGAGTTATACCTTGCCACAATGAGCTTGATTCATCATAAAAGATTCAGGAGTCAAATTTTTAAAAACTCCTCCACTTGGAATCTCTCCTTGGAGTTTGTTATAGGAGAGATTGACATACTGAAGATCAATAAGTAACTTTAGAGATTTAGGAATCTTCCCAGACAAATTATTCTTAAAAAGGTCTAATTTTACTAAGCTCAACATATTTTTGAAAGATTCAGGAATATTTCCTTGCAAATTGTTATGTGCTAAGGATAAATCCTGCAAATTCTTCAAGCCACCTAGAGTCGTTGGAATAAAGCCTGAAATATGATTTCTTGACAAATCTAGTGCTACAAGAGCATTTAAGTTTCCAATCCTCAATGATACATTTCCAACTAAAATATTGGAAGATAAGTTTACCCTCAATATATCCTTCAAATTCCAAAAGAAAAGGGGTATTTCTGAAATTAACTTGTTAGAGTCCAAGTAAAGGTCTCGTAAAGGTCTCATAAAGAGGTAACATTTGTTAAACAAGAGGGTATTCCTTTAGAAAACTTGTTTCTACTTAAAGATAAATAGGCAAGCTTTGTTATTTCACAAACCTCATCAATGATTAGGCCGTGTAGCTCATTGCCTTGAAGATCCAAATATTGAAGATCTAATAAGCCACCAATTGCTTTTGGAATTGATCCTGTCAATATGTTTTCTCCCAAGGATAGTTTGAAGAAACTAGTGAGATTCCCAAAATTTGATGGAAGATTGCCGGATATAAAATTGCTTTTAAGATGTAAGAATTGCAAAGTTGAAATATTAAAAATGTTCAATGGCATAGAACCGCTCAACTTGTTATGTGACAATTCTAACATCTCAAGCTTATGAAGATTGCCTATTTCCATAGGTATTAAACTTGCATTAAAAAAGATTAGTTCTAGTGATGTTATCAAAAATGAATACTAAAAATAATGAAAAGACAGATATCTAGTTAATGTGATGTATGATTGTTGATACTCCTTTTTATGTCAGGTTAGTCAAGTTTTACATCTAGATTTTGCCTTTCTATTCATATATAGTATAACAAGATGGACATTTATCTTTTACATAGATCCTTTAAATTGATTTTATAAATATAATTCAATTTATTAAAAAATAATTCTGTTAGAAAAAAAGATAAAGAATTTTTATTTATTCGTATCATTGGAGAAGTTGAATATTTTATTCTAAATATAGAAATTCAATCATACTCTCAAGTTTTTGATGTCTTAAAGGTGCATCCATTGCATACCATTTAATGGCTAAAATTAAGAAAACTTATTATATTTAATAATTTTTAAATTCTCAATTTCAACTATCACAATCTCTTATGAAATATATTTTTAGTGTTAACAAACACATTAGAAACTAAAAGAATTTAATTACATATAATTTATTAAACTATTAAAACATATCTTCAAAGTTTAGGTTTGTAAGATCACCAATTTTATTAGGAACATTTCTCGTAATTTAGCAACAAATAAAATAAACATAACTACCTAATGCAAAGATTTGTTAGATGAATACCTTCCAAGTTATTGGAATGCATAATTAACCGTTGAAGCATAGTCAAGTTTGTAATCCTTTTGGGTATATGGCCTGAAAGAAGATTGACACATAAGGGAGACATTAGTTAAAACATAAATTGTCTAATTCCATTGAAGCACGCTCCAACGTTGAGTGAAAATGCATTCAACCTCATTACTGCACGATTGCTCTTTCTTAGATCTCCCCCCGGTAAACCTGCTTTCTAGAGTAAACAGCCACTAGAACATGTTCTAACTACCACTAGTTACCAAAAACAGTTAAAGAATTAATCCAATGCACAAGACATTATTTGAAAAAAGCTTTTCACTCACAAATCTAAATTTATAGTGATAACCTTTAGCGCAACAATAATAACAAACTTCTTCATATTCTTATATAAAATATTTCCAATATTCTGCCACACTTTAAAAATGTTATGACGTTGCTCACCTTGTTAGAAATCCAAAGATTCCAGTTTTATCATTTGTAACTAATGTAATAATTCTAGAAGAAAGAAATAATTATTAGAAAAATAATGCTCATTGGGCTTATGTCTCAGCCCAAGTCCAACGTCCCAATATTCTGTTATGGCATAACATATGGTATCAAAAGTAATGCTCGATGATGATGATGTACATTGTGTGACAACAAGACCTAGTTGTTAGCTAAACTAATCAAGTGTTTAATGCAGAGGTGAGAGTGGGAGAGATCGTAGCATGGAACAACATACTATATAGCATCATAATTTTTAGTATCCAAGATCATAATTTTAAAATTTCCATGAACTCCGCAGATTTTTTAGGAATATCTCCAACAATATAGTAAAAGAACACAAATGGAAAATGAAAATGAAAAATTAAATCAATTTATTTAAAATGGTGCATATAAAAATCACTTAAAGTGGGTAGTAACGCATGGGGTATTGAGCTTTTGCTTATTTAATTTTTTATTTTTCTTAAAACAAGTTTCTTAACGGCTATTTATTAGTTTTTTTTTTTTTATGAATACAATATAATTAGTTAGTTAGTTAGAAAATTAATTTCATTTGCATAAAAATGAAAAAAAAGTCTCTCTCCTCCACTCTCCCTCTCTGTATTTCTTTCTTAATTTTTATAACACAAAGAGTAGGCACAGATGATGGCAAGTATTATCTCTCCCAAGATAATAAGGATAAAAGGTAGACCTCTTGCAAGTAAGTTGCTACATGCACAAGAGTTGGGATTCAAACCTCTAACCACTTGTTTAAGTGATGAGAGCCCTACCACTCAGTTATTATTTCATTTAATTTATTTTATTTACAGGATATGGAGTTGTCTTCCAAACAAAATGACATTAAAGGCCAATTTATTTAGGGCCCATTTTTTTAAGATTCAAAATAAGTGATTTTTAGATAGTTTGGAGATTTTATAAGAAGAGATTTATCTTATAGAGATTGTATAAAAAGAAAAAAATAATTTGATGTTTGGTTACAATAATAAAAAAGTGATTATCAGTTAGTTGTTTTTAAATTTTATGATTTCTTCTTTGACTTTTGTTTTATAAAATAATTTATCATTTTATTATTTTAAAATTTTAGGATAAGCATTCTCCCTCATCTACAATATCATATTATTTTCAGAAGCTACTTAAAGTAGCATTTTAAAATAATAATAGATATGCTTTTTTATTCTAATCGTTTTCAAAATTTTAAACAAATATCACGTAAACTCATAGAATAGTTTTTTTTTTCAGATAATAAGTGATTTTTCATGAAATAAGCTGAAGCAAATGGGCTCTTAAGCTTTTTTTTACCCCATAAAAAATCACCTATTTTTTTGACAAAAATCTATTTTTTTGAAATTTTATATTTTTTTTTAATTTTAAGAATAATTACAATCTGAAACAAAAAATATATTTCTAATTATTTTGAAAAATTTCTGTGCATAGCTTCTTAAAATAATATGATAGAGTATGTAAGAGAAAATGACCTAAAAATGTGGAGATATATGAAGATATTATAAAATTTTAAAATAACTAGACAATAAATTATTTTTTACAAATAGAGATCCATAAAGATATTATAAAATCTAGAAATAACTAAATAAATACTATTTTTTATTATTGTAACCAAAAATAAAATAGTAAATGACTTTTATAAAAAAATTGGAAGATAAATCAATTTTCATAAATATCTAAACTATCTAAATATTATTTACTTTTTTATATTAAACAAACAGCCAAAAAAAAAGAATATAGACTCATTTGAAACTTTTTCCCCCCCTAATCCACTCCCTTAAAATATAAGAAATTTGCGTAAAGACAACAAATCAAAATATTCTTATAATAATTGTTTTCACAAAATAAAGAAAATATTTTGTATGAAAGAATAAAACGGAAATAAAAAACGAAAAAATAATAGTAGCAATTAGATATAATTTTTCAAATTAATACATGCCCACAATTGACATACTTTTCAAACTCCAAACGACGACCTAGGTGCAAGAAGGAAGAAAGAATAACCAAACTGCTAACATGTTCCCTCACATTATGAGAACCATCGTCAACTACCAAACTACAGTTTTGGGATCTGAAGGCAAATTAGGGTTTGATTGCAGTTTTAGAAACATTAATGAATATAAATACCAATCTTTGTAGCAGAAGGTTGATATGTTGAAATTGATCCGATAGGGTCTTGATTTTATGTGGCTGTGTATACATATGTACATAAGGGAGGGTCGAACACAAAAACGGGGTGCTAGATTGTGAAGCCTGATGAAAGCCTTTCTAAGAAAAAAGAAGAATTTATATTTAATGAAAAATAATACCCTATTTTTTATTTTACTTCATATTTCTTTCAAAAATATGTTTGATATGGGCTCCTGAGTTGTTTATTTTTATAAATATAACTTAATTTGTTGAGAAGGATTTTTGTTTAAATAAAAATTAAGGAAGTCCAGTTTATTGAATGGTTTTTATTAACACCAATGTCCAATGCATAAAAGTGCAATCAAAACATATTTGGTAAGATTGAATTTAGAGATTTGGCATAATGAGTAGTACATACCTGTGAAAAAGTTGATTTCTAATTCTAACTGTTTGAGCTGCTTGCATTGCGTCCAACCAGAAGGTATAGCTCCAAATAATTTGTTGACTTGAAGATGTAAAGCTTGTAAATTTGGAAGTCCTGACATTTATTTGAGGGAATGCCTCCCGACAAATTATTCCAACTCAAGTCAGTCTTTTGCAGCTCAGATATATTAAAGATAGTTGATGGTATTTGGCCAGAAAATTGATTGGTGTCTAAATATAGAATTTTCAGACTTTTAAGATTACCAATCTGTTCAGGAATACGTCCTACAATGTTATATATATAAAAGATCCATTAAATCCAGTCATCAAAATTTAACTCTTGATGTACCATACAGGAGGGAAGGAAACTGATAAGATAACTTTTGAAACTACTGATAACTTATGGTTCTTCAATTTCGGAACTAGGATAGTGTACAAGAAGTATAAAAGCCAATTTGCGACCTTTGTCTCTCGCATTAATGAGTTTTCTCCCAATATTGGCTTTTTCTAATCATTATGAATTTAATATTTTAACTAAAAAGGCCGAAGTTGCAAAATAAAAAGAGAAAAGGTTATAATGCTCTTGGGCCACAAATATGAAGTTGCAAATTTGTTATAAACACATTTTAGATATTATCTCCAATATGAAATTCTAATGAGGGTCTATGTAATAATTATGTAAAGCACAACTTTCAACAAATTCACCTATATAAATTTATATCTACCATGTAACAAATCATTATCATATATTTAGTAAACAAGTTGAAGAATTAACTTGTAGGGCATTGGTTTGGACTCACTTTAAGGAGTCCAAGTTAAAACTATTTGGGTGTTTGTATCAAAGAAAAAGATTCCATCAAACCAACAAATAATTACTATTTTTTTCAGAAAAAAATCTTCCAGAAAATTGGCTCCCCGAATGAGAAGAGGCGTGCCCTAACTAGCATCACTACAATAGAAAATAACTGAAGACTTATTTTTATGCATAACAAATTACTGAAATAAGAAATTCATGAACACACAATCTTATAATAAAACTAAAGACAAAAAAGAAAAATAAAATTCATTTTGTTCATAGTAATTTTA